CAAAATGAAGAGCAATGGGAAGCAATGGCAGTGTTAGAGAGAAGGCCTCATGCATGGCCCTGAAAAAACAGAGTTTAATTTGGGGAATTCCTGCAACGGCAGTCAGTAGGAAAGTGCAGGAAGCTACAGGCATCAGAGTAAACCTGGGGCCAGTGAGATGGCTCAGTGAATGAAGGTGCTTGCCACCAAGTCTGGAAAACTGAGTCTGATCTCCTGCCCCACAGGGTAGAGGAAGAGTGCTGACTACTGAAAGTTTACCTCCCTGCATACATGCACACACATAAACACACACTCATGCAGTCGTATGTGCACATACACATAAACCACATAAACTAAAAGGTTTTAAAAACATGTTCACATGGATGAAGGAAATATTCGTGATTTTTGTCTTAAAAAGATTACGTTTCGTCTCGAAAAACAAAAAAAAAAATTACGTTTCCTTTGAGATGTGAAGTTATAACAAAATAACAAAATATATTCCAGTCTCTCATGGAACCTAGCTATAAATTTCTGAAAACACGTAAACTTCACAGTAGTTCTTTTTGTTTCATTCTTTTCCAAGTTGCGCCTTGGTATTGTTATTTAAGGATAGAAAGGAGGAAAACCATTTCTCTCCAGAAATACATAAAAACATTTGCTTTATTCATTTAATTTATGGGTACATATACACATATACACACATGCACACAAATTTGTTTTTCAAATTTTTCTTCATAGCCCAGTTATGAATGAAACTATTAACTATGAGAAAGTATGGGACTGATGGGATGGCTCAGCAGGTAAAGGTGGTTGCTGCCAAGCCTGATGACCTGAGTTCAAGTCCCAGACCTCACATAATGGGAAGAGGAGAGAATTATCTCCTACTCTGACTTCCACACATGCTTCTGCACATCCACACAATAAGTAGTGTAAATATGACAAGCTTGGGTTATATTCTGTCATGAAACATGAATGTGTGACCCGTGCCTTATGCTCTGTAGAGTTGCAACAGGCCCTGACGTCATAGTCTAACAGTTGAAGCCAGAATGAGAAATAAACAAGGAAACAAAGAAACAAAGCTCCAGATAAGCTCTTAGAGTTTCCAGCTCACACTTGGAGAACAAGGGTGAGAGCCACTGATTGATTACCAGTGTCCGTAACATGAGTTCCTGATTGGGTGAACATCCAGCTATAATACTCACCAGCAACAAGGTCTTAGCTTTCAGACCCCAGTCGCCTGTCATCATATTTATAGGTCACCTGCCATACCTGTGTATTGTGAGTGTCCAAAGACAAAAATCTGTAAAGTATGACTACAGATAAGACACTGACTGGATCAGGAGTCTGTCACAGCATTTCCCCATTCATGAAGTTAGAGCCCTTGTGACATATTTCCCCATTCATGAAGATGGAGCCCTTGTGACCTACTTAGTGTTTTCTTAAAGGGCCCTACCACCTCTTGACACTTCTGCTCTGGAGGTCCAGTTTCCAACCAATGAACACTGGAGGACACGTTGAAGCCCTCCCAATTACATCAGCTACTTTGCTTGCTGTGTGACCAAATCCCTGACAGAAAGCCGCTAGCAGGGAAAGGTGTTTTATTTGGCTTGCAGTTTGGAGGACTACCATCCATCATGGTGGGAAGGGCATGGTGACAGGAGGTATGGGGTACCAGTCACATGATGTCAGGGAGCAGAGAGAGGTGAGTGCTATGCACAGCTTGCTTGCTTCTTTTTACTCGGCCCAGGAGATGGCGTATACTCAAGGTGGGTCTTTCCTCCTGTTACTTTTTTCTGGAAATACCCTCATAGGTACGCCCAGAGATGTGTTTCCTGGTGAGTCTAAAGCCAATCACATTGATGAATATGAACCAACAGACAGTATTCTTGATTTTATTCCCCAAGTCAGAAGAATTGAAGTTGTAAATTATGGTCAGGTAGTTAGATGTCCTGTCCCACCTGCCTCCCGTGCCTTCCTAGGAAGTGCTTGAGCAGTGCAGATGAGCAGACAGGATTGCTGCAGTCTGTATCTGCTTGGGCTGATATAGCATTGGAGTGGGCTTAAGTCTGACTGGGGGGGCCACAGGCCGTTCTACCAAGCCTGAGCACAGCTGATCTTACTCTGAATCCTCCCTTGGCCAGGCTCAACTCAAGACTAGGGCCTGGGCTGTCTTTTGAATTGGAGCCCAGAGTGTGTATAGAATGAGGAAGGTCCCCTTTGAAACAGGAGAAGATACTGGTGTTTGCGGAGGGAGCCCAGGAGCTTTGTAGCAGACCATGACGTCAGAGCAGACTTTCCAGTATGTGTGTCAGAGACAGTGAAGCCAACAGAGCCATGCTGTTGGAGGTGTGTGCACGCATACTTCACAACGTGGTGTGTGTTTAGAAAAGGCTGTTACAATTCTGTTTGCTTTTAAAATCTGTGGGTTCTACCAACGTGTTTTGAGTAAGCAGTGTATCGGATGGTATATTAGAGACGGAGAGGGAAGATTATGTAAATTTGGAATATTTTTTCTGATTCCTTTTGCAAACTTTAACATCCCCCCCACCTCTTTCTCTCTGTGTGGGTGTCTCACACCTTATAATGCCTAAGTCTTTACATTTTGTATAGTTACTATGACATGGCTTTTTTTTCTTCAGTGTTTCTTATTACAATTGTTGACATATGTAAGTGCTTTATTTTTTATTTTTAAGTATATGTTTTTTCATTCTGAAATGCTTACATTTAAGGTATACAACCTCACACTATTGGTGGGTACTTAACTTGGCTGCAGTTTCTAGCACGTTAAACAATATGACCAGAGCTTGTTTGATGAGGGTCATGTGGGGAGAGCGACTCTCAGATATGCACGCACAGTGGGTTAGAATGGAAGCTTATTCCCTTCTCCTGTCGGGTTTTCCTTACGAATGGCCTCTTGTGATTCTCTCAGCAGAGGTTTGTAAGTGATGCCTGCTGCTACAACTCAGCAATATTTGATGTTACCAGAATTTCATTTTGGCAGCCCCGTGGTTGAAGTGTCAGTTCTAGTCTCCTGTTGACAGGTTTCGAAGAGTCTTACCTTGAAGTTGTGACACACCACACGGCAGTGCTAAAATCCTATCCAATTTCCTGTCAAAGAGAAACATGCCACCAATAGCTTGCGGTTTGTTGTGTTTGAATATGAAGAGATTTTCAAATATACGGAGGACAAAGCGATTAAACCAAGTCCTATCTTTCAACAGATATTTATTAAGTATTTTATACTGGGCACTAGGATTACAAAGAAAATGAGAGTTTCATCTCTGACATCAGGGTGTGCTCATCCCAGGGCTAGAAACAGTACATAAGCCAATTGTAACTGCAGATGCTATGAGAGCGAATGTTCTAGTAACCACAGGAACATGGGGGAAGGAAGTTTAATGTAATTCTCTTAGTTGTTCGATAGTCAGTGAGAGGAAAGCACATGCCACCTTGAATACTTATTAAACTATATTCTGTCCCACCACACAATTGGTAGAAGCCCCAGGAGCTGAGATAAAGCAAGAGTTAGTGAAAGAGAACTTGTCTTTGTCCTCCTGTGGGAGTGTAGACCGAGTGGACCTGCCAATCGGTGAATGGCAACATGTTGGTTACTGTTCCCATTGTCCGGATCAGTGAGTTGGTGAATGGCAACAGCTTGTTTACTTTTCCTATTGTCCTGATCAAGTACCCTAGTCAAAGCAGGTTGAGGAAGGAAGGAGTCCTTTAGGCTCAGCATTCCGGAGGAGCTCCATCATGACAGGGCAGGGCAAGCCTGGCAGCAGAAGCGAGAGGCTCCTGACCACACTATGCTGGCAGTCAGGAAGGAGAGAGCTATGAGCAGTTCTGCTTAGCTCGTTTTCTCTTTTAGACTCAGTTCAGGATGGATGCCAGCCCATGGAATGCTCCTGCCCACATCCAAGGCCTTCCCTATAGATAACTTAATTCAGATAATCCCTCAAAGACATGCCCAGATGCTTGCTGCCTAGGGGATTCTAGAACCCGTCATACTGACTGACAGTCCATATTAGCCGTTATCACCACCACCACCACCAGTGAGCAGTTTCCTAGCCATCGACTCTGCAAAACACCTTGTATGGGGAGGAAGCAGGCATAAGGAAATGTACTCAGGGTTCTCACTAGTGGGAAACTGAACCCAGATGGGGAGACAAGACAGTTCGTGCTAACATTTAGATACAATTTCTAAAGAAGAAAAGGAAACCAACTTTGACAATGCTTTTGTACAGCCTACTAACAATGGAGACGAAACTTTTAACCCCCACCCCGAGAAATGTCAAAGAAGCACCAGTATAGAATCGTGAGTTTATCCAAATATGCAACAGTAATTTAGGAACAAAACTAAAATTACAAGCCAGCTGTGGGTATCCATGCCTGGAGTCTGGACTGATAAGCAGGCTGGGATAAGAGGTTCACTGGGAATTGTGAAGTTGAGATGAACAGCGGCAACAAAGCAATCCCCATCTATATGAACCTGCATTTGCCGCTCTTACGTATAGCTGTATAGTAAATTTTGAGAGGAGGGGACTAAGAGGTTATTACTAATACATCAGTAGAGGGCTTCCCATACCTCAGCCATTAAGACCACTTGCTGCTCTTGCAGAGGACCCAGGTTCAGTTCTCAGAACCCTCACAGTGGCTCCCAACTGTCTGTGACTCAAGTGCTGGGCGATACAGTGCCCTCTTCTGGCCTCTGAGGGAACTGCGCATGTTGTATACAAACACATACATGCAAGCTAAATACTGATACACGTAAAATAAAACTGCATCTCTTTTTTATAAAAACACACACATCTCAACACAAATCACCCTTTTTTAAATTTTACTTTTAAATATCTGTTTGGGCTCAGCAGTTAAGATACTTTCTGCTCTAAGAAACCATACCCATATCAGGTGGTTCACAGCTGCATATAACTTCAGCTGCAGGGAATCTGACACCTTCTGGCTTCTGTGGGTACCCATGCACACAAAACCAATAAGTCTTAAATGTTTGTCTTGTTTTCTAGGTCAGGAAGTCGTTTTCAAGTGCCTCGGGGAAGGAATTCTTGAGAAAGCCTTTCAGGGATATAATGCTTGTATTTTTGCATATGGCCAGACAGGTAAGGTGTTGCTTTTATTGGAGCTGATGATATTAAACAAGTGTTTGAAAGAATGTAGTTCATTGGACAAGTGCTTGCCTCACCCGTGCAAACTCCTGGATTTAATCCCTAGTGCTTAAATTAAAAGACTAAATAAATAATTGTTCCTTCTCTCTGTTTTGTTTGTTTGTTTGTTTGTGGTGCTGAGGATTTGAACACAGGACTTCCTGTGTGCCAAGCATGAATCGTGCACCACCAAGCTACATCCATATCTTAAATATATATAATTTCTTAACATTTAAAAGGCTGGGGGAATTTGAGAAATGCAGAAAAATTCTCCTGACATCTTGGGCTGAACTGACTTATGCAATCAAAGCTATCCCACTTTTTGAAAATACATCAGTTCCGGTAATTGCCTAATCTCGGTGTTAATGAGTGTGGCTAGTTCCGTACTATTAAGCATCATTTTCTTAAATTATAGTTTTAACCTGTGTTTGAACTGGAAAAGCAATCATCAGTTTCACAGTATAAATGTTTTGGCAGAATCAATATAATATTTTTAGAGTCCCCCCCCCCTTCACCATCATTTTGGTTCCAAAATGATGATAGATTCTAACCCGAAGCAGGTAGAGCAAAACAGGCAAATCCAAAGTACAGTTGGGACCCAGCTATTCCCGCTTTGAGCTGTTGTTCTTTCAGAGTAGAAATAAACAGTGATCCTTAATAATACTGCCTCCCCCTAAGTCACATGGCTACAGAAAGCCGGGAAGAGAATACAGGTAATTTAGCATGTCATACGACCAGCTGTGACAGGCTGCTTGTCTTAGTGATGCTGGGATTTTACTGTGTATGCAATGCATGTCCCGGTGTTAGGGTTCCATTGCTGTGAAGAGACACCATGACCTCTTATAAAGGACAACATTTAGTTGGGGCTGGCTTACAGGTTCAGAGATTCAGTCCATTGTTATCATGGCAGGCTACCTCGTGTTCCAAAGACAAATAGGAAAAGACCAGCTTCCACCTGCTTAGGAGAAAGGTCTAAGAGCCCAGCCCCCCAGTGACACACATCCTCCAAGGCCACACCTACTCCTACAAGGCCACACCTTTCAATAGTACCACTCCATAGGATAAATATATTCAAACCACCATACCTAGTAAAACTCTCTCAAGAGCTGATAAAATTGTTTATCATATAAAAGGCTCTCTGTGTAGGCATGTAGATATCACTTCTTTAATCACCAGAACCCGTATAGAAAACCTGGCATGATGGCGTGCGTCAGAGGCAGAGCTAGGCAGATCCCTGGGGCTCACTGGCCAGTCAGTCTCACGTACCTGGCAGGCTCCAAGCCCAGAGAGACCCTGCCTCAAATACTAAGGATGGTAGAAAGGAGTGACAACCGAAGCTGGCCTCTGCCCTCCACACACATAGGCACATGTATACACATTCATACGTACACGGCTCTTTCCAAACTACATAATGAATGCGTGAGATTTTACCTCGCTTGCTTTCCTGGGGTGCACTGCACCTCTAGACACTCATTTGATCATAATGGACAGTCCCAACCTTACAGAGATAGACCAGGGGTTCTAGTGTGGACAGTCCCAACCTTACAGAGATAGACCAGGGGTTCTAGTGTGGAGAGTAACTGTGTTGTTGAGAGGTCTGGATTTGAGATCCAAATGTGCCCCACTTTTTCTGTGTGTCCTTGGCTGCTGAGCAGGAGCATCTTGTGTTGCCGTAGCATCTGCTTGCTTTCCCTCCTGTCCTCACACCCTTTTCTTGCTCTTTTCCAGGCTCTGGGAAGTCCTTCTCCATGATGGGCCATGCAGAGCAGCTAGGCCTTATCCCAAGGCTGTGCTGTGCTCTGTTTCAGAGGATCTCCCTGGAGCAAAACGAGTCACAGACCTTTAAAGTCGAAGTATCGTACATGGAAATCTATAATGAGAAGGTTCGGGACCTCTTGGACCCCAAAGGGTAAGCAAGGGTTTGGAATGAAGCTGTGAGTTAGGAAGAGCCATTTTAAATGATCTTAACATGAAAATTGCCAGGTCGTCTACATATTTGGACCATTGGTCACTGCTCCGATGTTGGTTCATATACTAAAAATGAGGAGGCTCCCAAAGCCTTTCCGTGTGTCAGATGTACGAATGAAAAGATGTGTTTACCACTGGCATTGTTTTCGTAATCAGGGACTGTTGATTAAAATGAAGTTATAGGGGCTGAGAGATGTTGTTGTAATTATTTAAAAACAGCCACTGGTCAAACCGACTATCTAAGCTGTGGCAGCTCTGCCTAGCCCAGCCACCATGTTTCTCGGCCGGAGGCCACATGCCACAGCCGCAGCTAGAACTGGCCAGCCAGAAACACCAGCCCTGCCACCCACAAGATGCCAGCATGGAAGATGGCTCTGCCAATCTTCCACGCTGTGTCTGCAAGGCTGGGCATTGCCCAGACCATCCCGCCATTCACACGGGCCCAGTAGAAAAATGAGACTCTAATGCTTAAAGATTAATCAAAGGCTTTATATGTTTGGTAAAGCTCAATAACAATATGCCCATACAAAGAGAGTTGTTTCCCAATTAGCTAACCTAAGTAAAAGTTGTTACCCGTGACTGCTCTCCATACCTGTGTGGCTCTCCATCCTCCTATATCTCTGCTCCCCTAACTCCTCCTCTTCCTGTCCCTCTTCCTCTCCTTACTCCTCCCACCCTAGCTCCTCCTACAAAGAGATAGTTCCGTGGTTAAGAACGCTGGCTGCTCTTCGAGAAGACCCAGGTTTCATTCCCAGCACCTACAAGGTGGCTAACAAACCATCTATACTTCTGATCCCGAGGGATCTGTCACCCTCTTCTGTTATCTGTGGGTACTGCACACACATGGTGCAAAGATTTGTTCAGACAAAATACTCATACACATAAGATGAATAATAATTATAGAATAGAATGATGTATGCCTCTAACCCCAGCACTCAGAGGAGGACCACCGCCTGTTTGAGGCTGTTCTAGGCTGCATAATGAATTCCAGGCCAGAGTTATGTAGTGAGACCCTGTCTCAAAGACTCAGAAAATTGTGCTAGTAGCTGCATATTGGTCCTTGCATTTATTTTGGAAAACAGCAACTCTAAATTGGAGGTGAAGTGGCGGGAGGGTTGTAGCCATCATTCCTTCCCTGATCCTCTGTTGGGAGCATGTGGGAGGATCTTCAATGGCTTGAGCCCACTCCCATTCTGAATGGTTCGGGAGATACAGGTGAAACCCAGGCATCTTTGTCTTTCATGGGTGATGCTAAGTGATGATGGCTCACCTTTAACCCCAGCACTTGGGGGGCAGAGGCAGGCTGATCTCTGAGTCTGAGTCTAGCCTGATCTATAGAGTGAGTTCCTGGATAGCCAGGGCTACACAGAGAAACCCTGCCTTGAAAAAAAATCTAAACAAGCAAAACAAAACAAAACTAGGTGATTAAAAACTAGGTGAGTTTGAGTCATAAATTCTTTTTTTTTCCAGTCAAGCTTTGCATTGATTTAAAAACTAATTAGATAGTTGGAATGTAATATAGAAAGCAGGTGAAGTGTAAGAAATGAAGCTGACCTTTAACCCTGTCACTCAGGAGTCACCTTGGTTAACACTTGGGTGTGTCATCCTGCTGTGTTTCAGACATGCCGTGTGTGGACGAACTCAGGTCTTCAAGCTATTTGATAAATAACAGTTCAATATCCACAATTTCCTGGGTAGCTTGATGAACACTTCGCTCTATCATTAAATATTTTCCAATAGTTTTAGCAGCTGTGGAATATGTAACATGTCTGCCCACTTTCCAGCCCTGTGGTCTCCAATGAAAGCAAGAGTTTTAACAACGCTATGGACATCAAGAATGCCTCCCCCCACCCCAGTCATTGAAACGTTTGTGTTTACTTTAAAGAATTATTAACTGTTTATGCAAAAGAACACTTGTCAGGTATAAAGAGCAGTAAAGCCAACCCCTGCCTACACACCCACTTGTTTTAGCAAGAGGAATCTAGCCAGTAATTTTCAATCTTTCTCTATGTTTCCCTGGACTCTTATTCCCTTCCTTGTTGGTCCTGGAGGTAAATACTACTAGGAATTGTAAATTTACCATCCTCTTTCTCTTCTGTAGCATTTATCCATGATTTTGTACAATTTTTAGCCTTGTATAAACAGCAACAGCATATATTCATTCATTTTTACTTAGGGGTTAATAATGTGATAGCGTTTACTATTGTTTAACATCTTGTTGAATGATCAAAAACTGTTCCTTTCCCATCATGCATAGGCTTCGTGTCTTATCTCTATATAGTGCTACTCTGGGTGCGCATGCACAGGCTTCGTGTCTTTGTACAATGATGCTATGGGCGCTCATGCGCAGGTTTCACGTCTCTGTAGAGTGCTGCTCTGAGTGCGCATGCGCAGGTTTCTCGCCTCTGTATGTTGCTGCTCTGGGTGCTCATGAACAAGCTTCCTAGGAAATAGGTGCAGGAGTTTCTAGAGGATTCTTCTGAGGATAAGACCATGAGTCACAGGATATAGAGGCACCTGCTTCATTAACTAGAGTGCTAACAGAATGCAAGAATTCCCGTTATCAGCATAAAGGCCTAGCGTTTAATTCCTGCTATTCAGTCGAGCTACACAAAATCTGGTTGGTAAGAGTGAGCCAACTGCTGGGTTGTATATGTGACAGCAGCGATCTTGATTATCAGACTGGTCGGTCCCTGAGTCTGGCAGAGTTACTATAGTTACACTGACTTCTCATCCTCAAAAGTAAGATTAAACGGGACACCTGAAAAATGCTTCTGAAACGTTGCCAAGTGTTTCAGAAGCACCGGGATTACCCACATCTGAGAGACTCCAGACATTAACTCTTTGAAAGACGATTAAATACCATGTGCCATGAAAAAGATGGTACCTGCAGTACCAGGAAACACCTTATAGCTTCAAGCTTTAAAGCTCATTGGTCTGATAACCATCAAATGGGTCTGAAATTAGAGATAACCATTTAAAATTCACAAGATCCCTAAAGGGATGGTGAGATGGTTCATGGTGGCCCCAGTGACCTGAATTCCATCCCAGGGACTCACGTGGTAAAAGGGAAGAACCCACTTCCCTCTGACCTCCATATGTATACTAGTGTCAACGTGTGTGTGCTCATGCACACACACACAAACAGACAGAGTCACACACACACAGGCACACACACAGAGAGGCAGAGGCACATACACACACAGACACATAGACACACACACACACACAAATTAACTAGAGCCCCAGTATTGTCATCAGCAGAGCTAATTCAAGTATCAGACATCAGTGGCTACAGTTGTGTTATCACCTGACTTTCTATATAAAATTGCCCACATGGGGCTAACAGATATCAGTGAAACTTGGAAAAGTAAAAATGTTAAAAAAAATATTTTATTATTGTTCAGTATTTGCTCAAAAAATTTAACCTTAAGGGAGAGGGAAAAAAAATGAAACCTGGTTGGTAGGGGAGATATGGGAAGAGCTGGCAAGGGGAAAGAGTATGATCAAATACATTGTTTGGAATTCCCAATAAATAAAGAGATTATCAAAAGGAATTGAAGATGTTCTTTATGAAGAATGTGTAGGTGTATCCATCCTCCACTACGGGAGCCCAGCCAGGGTTATGTGCTGGTTTCCCTCATCCTTGGGATGAGAGAGAAATGTTTTAAAATCGGATTGCAGTTTGAAACTAGAGTCTAAGGCATTTCTCATGTGTAATGCCGCTTTGCTATAAAGTGGCCATTAGAGCACCTTCTAATCTCTAAAACATCCTTCTGAGTTTGTAATATGAATTTCTAAGTGCTTAAGGAAAAGGAGAAGCTTCCAAATGTGGTAAGATTCACTCGATTGATTCTTCTTCCTCCTATAGGAGCAGGCAGTCTCTTAAAGTCCGTGAGCATAAGGTCCTGGGGCCTTATGTCGATGGTCTATCTCAACTGGCCGTCACCAGCTTTGAGGTGAGAGTCTTTTTTATGATCTCGTTTTTTTAAAAAAAGGCATTACATCAGTAAATGATAGTGAACATACTCTCCTGTGGATATGGGATGGTATATCAACGCTCCTCCTCACGAATACAGATCAGCACACCCAGGAACGATGTCCTTCAGTCACACTCTGGCTGCCTCATGGTGAAGAGTTCACAGTGAGGCTGAAAGGTCTGTCAGTCTCAGGTTGCAGAGTGTTTCCCTTTTGCCACTATCGAAATGCCTCCCCCAGGTGGCTAGCGATATCCTTCTGAGTATTCTGGTTGTCTGCTTGGTATTTGGTAGTTAACTGTAACTAACCCCCTTTTTGTAGGCAGAGGCCCTGCCTTGATTTTTAAGGCTCTTCGGTCTGCTGGCTTCCCCGCTTTTCACTGCTTTATCCAAGGACTTACCTGTTTTCTCCCCAGTTCATGACTTTTATACCCAGACGTAATGTCCTGCCGTCATTTCTACAGTTATTACCTTGGAAGTCTTACAACATAGGTTTCTAGTTCTCTTGCTGAAGAAGCAGATGAGACTGAGAGAATAAATAAATGAACGGACCCCTGTATTTACTTAGGATGTATAAGAGATTATCTTATGATTACCCATTATCATCTGAGACTCAGTAAAGCTTAAAACTAAGGTGAGGGTCATCACGCAGCTATTTAAATGAAAACACGCTGTATTTCTCAAGTTCGATTTGGACTTACCCTTCAGTTTAAATGCACTGAAGTTTCTGATGTGAATGAGCCTGGCTGATTCAAAGGTGCTGAGGCAGCACTTTGACTAAGTCTGTTTCCCAGCTAATTGTGATGGAGTGATGGAGCTCAGTCCCATTCCCCCCCCCCCCCCGCCTTGTCACTTATGAATAACAGTGAGGCAGCTCCATTCGCACCAGAGAGCTGCCTCTCCCTAGCCATGGGGAATCTTAGATGATCTCCATGAACTTGTACGGCTTGGCGTGCCGAGAGTTCCTTTCATAACACTCATTCAGCAAACATTTCATAGGAGCCCAGCAGTTCCAGGTGCGTCCGAGGAATGAAGACACCAAGATAAAGGAGAACGTTCCATTCTCTTGCAGAGCCAGAGCTACTCGCAGAGGGAGGCAGATAGCCAGGGACAGGCAGTCATACCGGGAGTTACAGGCATAAGACAGTTAGAATTAAATGGGGTGACAACTGTCCTTGAGTGTGCTCAGTAAGTGTCTGTTCTTCTGGGAACTTACGAGAAAGCAAATGGGATGTTTACAGGGCAAGAAGAGCTAGGGCAGAGAGAGAGGAAATCTCTGAGTGGGGAGGAGGTCCAAGCCTTGCTGTGTGGAAAAGAGGCTAGCTATGTCTATGAATGGGTATGGCCAAGGCATGGGGTCTCAGGGTGTGGGGTTGCACCCCTGTGTTTGCTCACAGCATTGTCTCGGTGTTTACCTCTAGGACATCGAGTCACTGATGTCTGAGGGAAATAAGTCTCGAACGGTAGCAGCGACCAACATGAATGAGGAGAGCAGCCGTTCCCATGCCGTGTTCAACATCATCGTCACGCAGACGCTGTATGACCTACAGTCTGGGGTGAGGGACAGGCGGAACCTGTCAAGGTTGGAGAGCTCAGAGTGTGAACAGGGAAGTGTGTCATGGCTGGATTCAGAGGCTAAGGACCAGGCTGGCTTTGAACTCACAGAGCTCCACCTGCCTCCTCCTCCCAAGTCTGGGATTAAAGGCTTGTGCCGCTACCACCCGCCTTTCTACTGGCATTTTCCAGTTGGAATTTTCAGGGCTTGGGATATAGTTCCATTGGTAGCATGCTTGCCTAGCATGTGTGAAGCCCTGGGTTTGATTCTCCACTGGGTTTGATTCTTCACTGCTGCATAAATCCCAGAGGCAGGAAAATCAGAAGTTCAAGACCATCTTCTACTTTTTGAGACTGTCTGGGAAAGAAAAAATGGATTTTGTGTCCAAGCATCGTTACTATCATGGTGATATCTCCAAACAACTTTTAAATGTGTGTTCTTTCTTACTAAAATTTCCCTTAAAAACAATCAAATCTACTTCACAGCTACTGTGAGATGTTACAAAGGAAACCGTAACATTCTATCTAAAACCCATATCTCAAAGGCAGAATTTGACCCAAATGCAAAGGAGTTTCATGTGCTAGTGTTTCCTCCAAGGTCCATGAAACCTCTAACTTCTGACTATCCTGGAAGTCTAGACTTCTGACTATCCTGGAAATACTTCTGACAACCCTGGATGTCTGGAAAACCTTCTGACCAGCTGCAGAGCAAAATATTAGATTTCTTTACCTTCTTAAATTTTCACTTAGGGGCTCAGAAGATTGTTTAGTAGCTAAAGCTCATGCCACACAAACATGGGGGCCTGGGTTTCATCCCCATGACCCATGTTAAATCAAATGTGACAGTGCACATCTGTAACCCCAACACTCCCAGAATGAAATGAGAGGAGAGAGCTGAGACAGGAGAATCCCCAGAAGCCTCTGGGCCAGCTAGCCTGGATCACTGCAGTGAACAAAGGAGACCCTGTTAACAAGGTGGAAGATGAGGGCCATCACCTGGGTTACTCTTTGGCACTCACACACATAAACACAGACATACATACACAGGTACCGCACATGCATACAAAGATCTAAAATTTGTTTACTAGGAAACAATTTGCTGGCGGAAATAGCTGTGAACAGGTTAAGATCCCAAGCTCTTTGTGATGGTGTGGATCACAGTATTAGTAAATACGTCGGTATCTGTGTATCTTCCTTCACCTGTACTGTTTCTCTTTTATTTCCTACGATTAGAACTCCGGGGAGAAAGTCAGCAAGGTGAGCCTGGTAGACCTGGCAGGGAGTGAGAGAGTGTCAAAGACCGGAGCTGCAGGCGAGAGGCTGAAAGAAGGCAGCAACATTAACAAGTAAGGTGACCTGAGCAACCGGGATGACTTAAATTCTAAGTTTGTTTGTTTTGGGAGGGTAGCGGCTCATTGCATTATAAGGATCCAGTGGTTCTGACACAAGGTTAAAGTGTTTGTAACTTTGTAACTTCAGTAAGCCTGAAGGAAGACAAATGGCAGTCTGCAATTGTTTCTGTATAGGACATTTATTGAAGTAAAGTCCTGTGGTCTAGCCCTGCTCCTCGGCAAGTGGTACAGCGCCTGTGTGTCCTGTGTGGACAGGCGGTCCACAGCTCAGCCTAGGTGTAGTTATCTTTATTGTCACTTTTATTACAACCGGCTAAAGCGACAGAAGGGAGGGAAAATTATACGTGCACTCACAGCTGAAAGCCCATCGCAGCGGAAAGCAGCAGAGTGGCTGAGGCTGTGGGAACTGGCTGTCTTCTGAATGTGTAGATCAGGAAGCAAAGAGTGGTCCAGAGGCAGAACTCAAACCTCAAGGCCTAACTCCCAGGGATCAGCCCCACCCTCCATTCCCCATCCTTCCACCACCCATCCCCCACGAGCTCCACAACCTCCCACCACAGCGCCACCAGCTGGGGACCAAAGGTTCAAGTACATTCAATCCCTGATAGTGGTTCAACAGTTTCCCCATCTGTAGAGGGGAGGTTGAACAGTAGCGGCTTCCTCAGGCTGCTGAAGATTAAATGCCACCGTGCATTTAGAACAATGCCTGGTGTGTGGTTTGCACAGAATAAATACCAATTACCTCAGGACTGTTTCTGTAATCAGCGTAATTGCTATCATTATTCCGAGTTCTACAGAAAATAGCTCAGAGTTGTTGTTATCTCTTTCTGTTGGTCAATTGTAATTTGAGGTCTTGTCTTCAGCAGAACGTGACGGTGAGAAATATATTCAGGAGCAAGTTCGTGCAGCTTGACCTTGTAACATAATATTGGCACAGAATGCTCTTAGCATATGAAAGCTCAGAAGAGGAGATGTGAGACATCACCCCCTTTATCAGACAGACACAGCTGCACAGACTGGCAAAATCTTTCCTTTTTAGGGGGTTCGCTCCCCCTACCCCAGTCATCCTCTCTTGGGCTTTCCTAAGTAGGGGCTTTGTTGTGCTTCATGACAAGGCATTGGCGAAGGCCAGGATGGCCCTGCTGTTCTGCTTACCTAGAACCCAGAAGAGGGTGGGAAAGCAAAGACGGAAGCATAAGACGGGGTGGGGAGGACCAAAGCAAAGAGCATCCCTTTGTTAGGATTCATTTCCTGATGCTGGTACCCAACCCTCCCTCTGCAGACAGGCTTGCAAAGCAACACAAGAATTTATGAGAATCTAGAGTGCACGTATGTGGCCCTAATGTAACCGATACTAGCGTCTGTTTTATGTCTGTCTGTCTGTCTGAGTTCTCCCATATGCCTAGAAAGGTTCTGAGTTTTCAATAAGTAATAGCTCATCTGATCTGCCCATCAACATTATCTTTTTAATTTATTTATTTGTGCATATGTGCATGCTTGCAGGTGACCTGGAAGGCCAGAAGAGGGTCCCCTAGAATTGAAGTTATAGGCAATTGTGAGCTGCCATGTGGGTGCTGGGAATTTAACCCTAGTTCTCTAGTAGAGTGTCTGGTGTCATAACTTCTGGGCCATCTCTTCAGCCCAACCTGCCATCAGCATTGTAAGATGTATTTTGTATCTTCATCTGGTCAGTGAGAAAACCCATGCAGACAACTGTCAGGTAGTAAAGCTAGGACTCTAAGTGCAGTTCCTGAGTCTGACTGCTGGAATGCTCCATGGGCTGTATGCTGTTGGCCTGGCATAGTCTGATTCTTTGGCCTAGCATGGATATTATTGATGCCTCCTCGTATATAGATACTAAGTTATTTAGAAATCCTGACTGGTCCGAACTGGATTGCCTCCAGGCTGTGTGATAACGTAGTCTAGAGCCCCTAGCAACTTCTCCACAATGACTTCTGAGTTCTCCTTGAGCCCTGCTCCTTTCCTAACCTGCACACCAAGGTCCCTGACAAGTGATATGTGTGCCTTCCTGCTGCTTTGTGAGGCTGGGCCTCTGTTCTTTTGGTGTTCTCTGTAGCTTTCACGTGTCCTGTCTTATGTAGGGCACAGAATGGGTCATTTTGTGTCTGCTGATACAGCAGGTGGTTTAAATGCTAGTAAGCTGATGTTTGGAAAAGTCACAAAAGTGAAAACCCATCAGACACGAAACATGAGTGGACTTGGTGCGTAGCCCGAACAATACCAAATAGCTCCACACTGTAAGTTCCAAGACTGGTGCACGTGTTAAAGGACTTCTTCAGGTATAATTAGCATTGGGTCTTTGAGATCTAGTAGACATTATCCAGGTAGACCCTATCTGTCAAAGGCTCCTTCAAATGAAAGAGACGAAGGTGAGCCTGAGACACAGCAAGGGAAGCGAGAGACCTGATTTGTTTTCTGCTGGAAGATGGAGGAAAGGACCGAGAATCAGGAGTGAGGGTGACCTGTGGAAGGTAGGAGACAATAGAGGAGCATGGGGGCTCCCTAGACCCCACCCACCCAGTTCCCTAGACCCCACCCACACCGGGAATGCAGACCCACCAGCACCTTGGCTTTAGTCCGGTGGTATGCAGTCTGAGTTTCTGTAAGATTATAAAGCCATGTATAGATTTAAGCCATGACATCTGTGATAATATGTGACAACAGGATGGTGACTCTTGAGGGAACCTCTGGGTCAGGAGAGATAGAGCATCACCACTCTGGAAGCAGGAGGCACGGGAATTCTCCTGAGGAAGCAAAATCAAGATCCCTCCACTTTCATGAGTAAACCACCAGACTGTTGCTCTAGATCAGCAGTTCTCAACCTGTGGGTCCCGACCCCTTTGGGGATCATATATCAGATGTCCGGCCTATCAGATATTTACGATTTGTAACAGTAGAAAAATTACAGTCATGAAGTAGCAGTGAAGTAATCTTACGGTTATGGTCACCACAACATGAGGAACTGTCCTAAAGGGTTACAGCATCAGGAAGGTCTAGAATCATTGCTCTAGATGGTTTCTACGTTGGTCTTTGTTTACTCACATGGATATTTTTCTGTTTATTATGGAAACTGTCTGGGATCCTTCTAGGAGGTTATAGGGTATATAAAAAAATACAATACAAAATTTTCAAAGACTCCCAAATTTCAAACACGTGTGCATGCATTCAAGGGTCTCAGATGAGAAGTACAGGCTTTAACTTTGCAGAACTATTTTAGCCAAGTGTGTGATGTGCGCTGATTAGAACACAGAGTGGAGTTGCAGACCCTGGCCTTGGGAGGCAGAGCAGAGCTAGCTTTGGAGCTGATGTGTTGGTACATAGGTTGCCATAGAAACATGTGGAGACCAGTGAGAACCCAACAGAGGTGATCAGGCAGCTGGAGGGGTGGGGTCAAAATGGGCTTCCCAGAGGAGACCCTGCAATTTCCTGGTTATCCAAACCGGCCATGTGACCTTCCCTCAGTTTCCTCCTCTGTAGCGTGTGACTAAGGAAGCTGTCAATCAGGTACACTTACCATGAAGATTCAGCCAGCGATTTCTTGGAAGGTGCATAGGACAGCGGCTGGCAGCCAGGAAGCTGAGTGTGTGCTAACCATGTTAATAAGATGAAACTGTTTGTAGTCCCACAGCCGGATGCTGAAGCTAAAGAAATCACTGATGTATTTTGTAAATGTGCTCTCAGCCTCTCGTCCTGGCTTCTTTATACGAAGCATTAATAATCCTCTCGAGCGGACCTGTCAGCAGCCTCGCACGACTTCAGTGCCTGCTTAATGGGCCGCAGATTTAGGGGTTTAGTCTCTCCCAAAGCTCTTAAGTGCTTTAAAGCGTGGGACACTCCCCTCATTTAAAGAATGAAGGCACCAAGACACCGTGTGACTGCAGCTACCCTGGAATGTGCAACACCACCTGTCTGGTGAGAGTGGAATGGAGAAGCCAGTCCCTGCCGCTGGACTCTGGTGCCTCAGTTTTTCTGCACACAGATTGAGTTCATGGAGTGCCCTTCCTAAGACTCCCAGATAAGGACAGCCAGCCTTGTGTTCTCAGCCTTGTGGCAAACTATTCCTAATCTTGTTTCTGTCTCTTCTGTTGTGGTAAAATGTCTTCGTAGACCATTACCCTGGTTACTCAGGAGGCTGGGGTAAAAAGAAACAATGTCAAGCCTTGTCTAGGTGACAGAGTGAGTTCAGGGCTAGCCTGGACAACTTACTGAGGTCCTGTCTTTGACAAAGAAAAAAGAAAGAAGGCTGTGGGTATATCTCAGTGGTGTAGTACTGACCCCAGCACATTCAGACCCCTCAGTTCAGTCTTTGGTTCTGAAAAAAAAATTTATATGTCCATTACTATTTCTAAAACTGGGTTCCATTCAGGAAATACTCGAATATATCGCTTCTAGGATTAAGTCGTGCAACATTTTATAATTTATAAGCTTAATAAGTCTTTCATTTTCCCTTCTTGGGTACTTTACCTGGTTCAAGCCATTTTGTTGCGGAGAGCCTGAGCCTGAGGCCAGCTGCTCAGGAGTTAGAGCCTTTTCTTGACTGTCTATCTCCTAACTGACTCTTCAGAACAACTGTTGTGCAGTCCACGCTGAGTTTCTTGGGTGCTTCCTTCTCCAGTAGTTTTAAGAGGCTTGGCTCTCAGCCGGGGTCACTGTCACTTTCAAAGTTCAGAGTATGAATGGCGCCTGGCATCAGGGCAGGTGTGCTCGGTGCATCTTCTCACTCCTCTGGGCATCCCACCCACAGGCAGTTTCCTGGGAAGACTGTCAATCCTTAAAGAGCACCTCCTCATCAGGGTCCTTTTTTCTATGACCCACTTTTTGACCTACCAATGAACTCAAGCTCCTTAGCAGTTCCCAGGGCAGGTGCATTATGGATGTTTCGAGAAGTCTCATTTTTCCTTTCTACTCATTTTGAACCTGTATAAGGAAATCCCTTGAATTTGCTTTTTGTCTAACATCATTTCCAAGGTGTAAAATAAATAGAAAATAAATGCAAAATGGATACCAAAGAACAAATAATCGAAAGAAGAGAGGTCTATTAAAATGATATATAACATAAACACATTCACTAAGAATGTACTCCAATATCAAAAACCAGATTTCAACAATGCAGAAATCTACGTGTGAGGGAAGAATTCTGGTGATTAAAGTTTTAAAGTATAGGAAAAAAAGGAAAGAGAAAAAATTGAATTACAATTCAAATTCTTCCCCTTATCTGTTGCGTTTACTACAGCTGCTTTAATTCTGTTTTTGAGCTTGCTAGCTTGTTTTGTCTAAAAAAAAAAAAAAAAAATTATTTTTTGTTAAATTTGAGTCTGTGACTGTGGCTGTGTCTACGTCTGTGTAAGGTCCTTTGATTGCAGGTACCCACAGAGGCCAGAAGAGGGCTTGGTGATAAGTCGTTGGATACAGACACTAGAATTCTAACTCAGGATTCTTTACAGGAGCAGTAAGCGCTTTTAGCCACTGACGATCTCTCTAGCCCCCATTTGTTTTCTTTTTTATCTCAACTTCTCCATTATTATATGTTAAGTGGCTTTTAAAGTTTTGCTACTTTTAAATACAATGGTTTGGGGAGAGACCGTGGGTGTAGCTCAAGTAGAACAGCCCAGGAGACCCTTCCTTCATCCCCAGCACCACCAAAACCCAATGAAAACAAAGCAGAGCTGCTTATAAATGCCTGCATACAGGTCTTCCTTCCTCTGCCGTCAGCCCCTCCCTCTTAGCCCCTCCCTCTTAGCCCCTCCATCTTCCCCTGTCCTACTCCAGAGCTGGTAAGAAATTAAAGATTAGGAGTTTCCTAACAGCAGATGAGGGGAAAGGTAGAATGAAAAAGAGTTCTGGAATCACTGTTCACCCTCCAACACTGAGCACCCATTGCTGTCCTGCTGGAGACTCCTGCAGCAGCGCCCCCACCCTCTACCGCCCCCGCCCCAGATGCCTTTGGCCGCCAGCTGTAGAAAGCACACATTTAAACTCACACACAAGTTACGTACCAAAACACTGTCGGTGTTTCTCCGAAGGCAGATCGATTGTATCGGACCACCAGGAAAGGTTGTCAAATGTGTGTGGTTGCATCCTGCTGGACGCTGCCCTTCAGCAGGTTGGGGTCGGGCCTGCATTTCTGACAGGTTCCCAAAGATGGTGATAGATGGTTTAGGTCCCAGGACTGCGCTTCATTAATGATGAGTCTAGACAGCTGAGTATAGACATCCTTAGGTACTGTCAACTGCAAGTTCTCAAAATTTTGTGTATGTGTGTGTGTGTGTGTGTGTGTGTGTGTGTGTGACCGAGAGACCTTTGTCTGATTTAGTAGGTCTGAAGAGGCTTCTGTGGTTTTCTTAAAAGCTTTTGGTGTTTACCCATGCTCCTTTGAGTGGCAGAGTTTGAAAGCGAAGTCAGATGCTGTTCTTGGCTTGGGCATGTCTTCGCTTTTGTGAAACTGTGTTGACCCCACACTGAGTCATGTTGCCAGCATTAAGAGCTAAGTTATGGTGATTGTTCTGCCCGGTGCAAGAGCAGAGGCCTGAATGGTGCCGATCTGACCTGAAGATGAAGTAATCCAGACTTTAATATTTGGAGTGAGTTAGTGCTTTCCAGTATGATTTTTATAATAGCATGTATCGAGGTTCTAAAATATACATTTTATAAATGCTGTAATTAAGCATAATATTTTCCTATAGAAACTCTCAATTTTTTATTTTATGCTAATGAGTCTTTTTTTCTTTGTTTTTGGCTTCTGGGTAAATTATTGGAGATGTAACCATCTGTTGATTTAACTGTTCTGCATATTTTATTCTTATTTTCTAGAAAGATTGTTGTTTTATGAAAACAAACATTCCGCAAAACTTAATTTTTGTTCCTCTTGTGGCAGGTCACTTACAACCTTGGGATTGGTTATATCGTCACTGGCTGACCAGGCTGCTGGCAAAGGCAAAAACAAATTCGTGCCTTATCGAGATTCGGTTCTCACTTGGCTTCTTAAGGTATTGTGTTAACCTAGGATTCATATTTATCTAAACCTTCCTGTTTCCAGTGTGATAGCTGTTTAAGAAGTGTGCAGGGGTAACCAAGCACACAGTACTGCCTAACCAAGCACACAGTACTGCCATCGTAATTCTTAGTGGTGCACAACAAAGATAGTTTGTAGGGTGTGTGGAGATGGCTCAGCAGGTAAGACAACTGCTTGAGTAAGCTTGGATCTCTGAGTTCCAGTCCCCAGCATCCATGTGAGCAGCTGGGCGTGGAGATGGTGGAGCTTGCCAAATACCCAGCCTAGCTGAGACGCCTGGCTTCCAGTTCAGCGAGACACACTATAGAGGAATTAAAAGTGACAGAGGAAGACATCAGTAGCTTCTTTACCTCTTCATGTGCATACCTACACACACACACACACACACACACACACACTCATATGCATGTGCCACACAACAGCATACAGATACAAATTCACGCTACTTTATTATTTTATTCTGTCACAATGTCCTTTGGCAGGTACTATTTATTGCTATAAATATAGACAGGCCACGTTTCATCTTTTTTTATAAAATGATGTGCAAAACGTTAACACACATTCACATTACATTTTCTTCTCGAAGACCAAAGTCCATGTGGTTATTCCCTGTGTTTATCGTGTGCTGCCATGAAACGGTGTTCAACAAGGTGCTGCTATTTGAAATTCTTTATAGGACAATTTAGGAGGGAACAGCCAGACGTCTATGATAGCGACCATCAGCCCAGCAGCAGACAACTATGAGGAGACACTGTCCACGCTACGATACGCAGACAGAGCCAAGAGGATTGTGAACCACGCTGTCGTGAATGAGGACCCCAATGCCAAGGTCATCCGAGAGCTTAGAGAGGAAGTGGAGAAACTGAGAGAGCAGCTCTCACAGGCTGAGGTAATATCTGTCTGCCGTGCCCTGTTCCTGACATCCCTTCACTTGGGCCTCTGATGGGTAAGGGTGTGCTGGCTTGCAGCCCTGGGTCATATCCATGTGATTCGGCTTTTCAGTGTGTAGCATCTGCTCTGAGCTAAGAGGCATTGTAAAGAACAACGCGACTGACCCCAACTGCTGCCCTGGCAACCTGCAGTCAGGAGGAAAAGGATGTCATTCCTGTCACTGCCTAATTGTTTGCTTTAGTCGGTCATGTGGCCTTTGAACTTCCAAAGGGAAATCCTAAGAACAGTGTGTGGTGGTTTGTTTTATTTTGTTTTGTTTTGAAATTAACATTGTAAATTGTTTTCACAAGGCTTTCAGAGAATCCAAGCATCCTTTCCTTTTGTCTTGGAAGTTGGGTCTTTTTGATAGAAAGGTTCCTAAGTGGTTACTGTAGCTACAAGATATTTATGGGTGACACTATTGATTTCTGTCTTATTGACAAATAAATAAATCCGCTTAAATTACATTTTCCCTGTATTGAGATATTTCAGAGATAAACTCTAGCATTTCTTTTCAATCCTTAAATGAAATACCTATTAGTCTTTACTGACTTTTTTTTTCCCTCTATATACTGGCTTGCTTTTTTTTCTGCCTCTTCTTTAAAAGGAGCAAGCAACCATGTCCTCTTCTTCCATTTACTCTGATGAGTGAAGTCCAAGGCCCACGCTGACAGTGTGTGACTTAATTGCTTTCGAGAGACTATCACTACTTGCCAAGGAAGGACATAAGGATGCTGAGATATAGCTCATTACTATTTAGCATAGCTTATAGCTGCATACAGAAGGTGCAGGGCCCTGTGTTCAACCCCCAGTACCATAGACAAGGACACCATTCTAGATATTCTGTACATAGTGCTGGAGAGATTGTGAAAGTTGACATCTCTGGTTTATTTTAAAGGCCATGAAGGCCCCCGAGCTGAAGGAGAAGCTCGAAGAGTCTGAGAAACTGATAAAGGAGCTGACAGTGACATGGGAAGAAAAGCTGAGGAAGACGGAAGAGATCGCACAGGTGGGCTTATGAGTGGGCCTCCTTCCACCTGCTGTCTCCTCTAAAGCCCTCCACGGCAGTGGTTCTCAACCTTCCTGATGCTGTGACCTCTTAATACAGTTCCCCATGCTGTGGTGACCGTCCCCCAACCACAAAATCATTTTTGTTGCTACTTCGTAACTGTAATTTTGCTACTGTTGTGAATCATGATCTAAAATATCTGATAGGCAGGATGTCTGAGTATACGACCCCTGTGAAAGGGTCCTTCAACCCCTAAAGGTCAAGAACCGATGCCTCGGGGCCTTGCTGTCTCTGCCAGGCTCATTTTAAAGCACCAGCCTCTCATCGGTCAGCAGTCTGTGTATGGTCCTGTGTGATGTCCTGCTGGAATGCTCGATTGAATAAGCAAGGCTGGGGGGCAATCCTTCCTCCTTTCTGCCCCTCATAGGAACAGAAGTCCACCTTGTGGTAGAGTAGGGCTTTGGTTGTTTTGTTTGTTGTTTTTTTTGGGGGGGGGGGTTGGGGGGTTTGGTTGGTTTTTGTTTTTTGATTTTTTTAGCTTTTTTTTTTTTTTTTTTTTTAGATCTCTTGGCATTGAGAGCTCTGCTTAGCAAAAACCTTTAAAACACACCGCACAGTAGGTTTTTCACCATGTGCTTCCTTGTGCCTATTGGAAGACACTGTACGAGCAGTCACTGAAACGGGCTGCAGCGAGGGTAATAAAGCCAGAGCGAGCACAGGGTCACTCCACCCCTCCACACGGTGCATCTTGTGAGCACAGCTATGGCTTGTCTCCTCTTACAAGAGCAGTGTTTCCACGAGAGGCCAGCTTCTTTTTATTAGCTACTGTGTTCCCCGCCATAGATAGTACCCGCCACGCTCTACACTCTAGTGCCTACGTCTTACATGGACAGGTGGGTTCAAGGCTTGTCATTACAGGGTTTCTACCTGCTCCTCCAACTCCATCTCCCACTGTTTTCCCCATTTGCTTGGAGCTCTTTGCCCCTGAAATCGTCCTCTGTGCACTGTCTTCTGTGCTTTCCAGGGACCACTTTTTAAACAATTAATCTTGCTTCTTGCTGTTGACATTCATTTAACGCTCCAAGAATTGTTTTGCACATTCTCAGCCCATCCTGTTCTCTCAGCCCATCATGATGTCCCTCCCAGGAAACCATGCAGCCCTTCCTCGCCCTCCGTGGCACACCGATACTCTCTTTTGCATTCTACTTAAGTGGTCTTGTCCTCTCCCAGACTTTCAGTTTCTACAAGCCGACACTGTGTGATTCACCCGAGGTGCCCTATGACACTGTTGTGCCCTGCACTGCAGCCCTTAGTAAACTTAGTCAAGCCGGGTAGAATGTGTCATCTCTTTGGCATTGTCCCCAGAAGCAGTGACTTACTCTTTCCATGGATACGTCTTGCGACTAGAACAACAAAGCATCTCTGCTTCTGTCTGTTTCCGTGACCAGGAGAGACAGCGGCAGCTGGAGAGCATGGGGATATCCCTGGAGACCTCTGGCATCAAGGTGGGGGATGACAAGTGCTACCTCGTCAACCTGAACGCAGACCCTGCCCTCAACGAGCTTCTGGTTTACTATTTAAAGGTGAGAAGGTGTATGAGAACCGACCACCATGCTCTCCAGTCATCCCAACTGAACCTGGATTCCCTGCCCCGGGACTTCCATTTTTGTGTCTGGCATTGCCCTCAATAGCAGTAAGACAGTGATGGTGCAGCCCCTCCCCACTGATCATAAGAAACAGCCTTTGTTTCACCGATGTCCTTGAGGACAGGCTACAGAGGGGACAACTCAGGGTACACCCATAGAAGGACCCAAATATAAGATCACTGAGGTTCTGAGGTGTCTGGGGTCATATATAAGGTCATATGAGGTTCTGAGGTGTCTGGGGTCCAACCACAGTGATTCTGAGAGGCCTTGGGAGAACCTTCACTGTAACACTAGGAAGATATCAAGACCCACACAAGCCTAAAGAGACCCTGGAGCAAAGCACCAAGTCTGTCTTAGCTCTGACCCTATTATCCCAAAAGGACTTTTGTTCTATGGTCACCCTTCAGAATGGCCTTTGAGCATTGGCACTGTGTCCTTGTGTGCACTGAGCATTCTGGAGGCATCTCCAAAGTTTTCCAATGTCCTACCATTAGATCCCATGTACATTCTTTTTCTTTTTTTCTGAGACAGTGTTTTCTCTGTATAACAAACTCTGGCTGTCCTGGACTTGCTTTGTAGACCAGGCTAGCCTCAAACTCATAGAGATCCACTTGCCTCTGTCTCAGAGTGCTGGGATGAAAGATGTGTGCCACTGTGCCTGCCCCCATGTGTGTTCTTTAAAAGTATCAAAGACTCCTGTGAACTTTTATGTGCCTAGGTTATAGCCGTCTATATGTGTGGCATTAAAACTGGAGGAGGTGCTGTAAGGCAAACACTCGGTTGTCAGTTTGCAGAGCTACGTCATCACTGGTCTGGTGCCTGCAAAAGCCCTGCCATTCATGTTTGATAAAATAAGAAAGCCCAGATAAATGACCTTTGGTTTGTCCTAAAATAGTGTTGACATTATGATCTCCTAAAAGGTCAAGAGATGTCAGGGGTTCTTTGGCTATATTTGTAGAACTACTAGATAACTTTATTAAGCAAGAAATAGGACACCAGAGCCAGGTGTGGTACTCCATAGCTGTAATCTCAGTATTTGACAGACAGTGTAAGTCAAAAAGCTTGGGTGTTCAGGCTCATCTTCCATTATGTAGCAAGTTCAGGGCCAGCATGATTTTTCCCTTTTCTTTCTTGCCTGGCCCTTAAGAGTTAAAAGAGTTCCCAGTCACAGCTATCAGCACCAACCCCAGTGTTCACACCTTGCTGCCTTCCTCCTCAGTTTACCGGTGGTGTCGAAGCTGGCCTTAAACACCAAGGCTTAGGAGGACATGGCACGCTGGTACCCACTTCAAATAGTAAATATTCAATCCAGAATGAGAAGTCAGTGTCTGCTACTGCTAAATCCAATTTCCTTATGTTTTAAAATGACCTAATCACCATTGATACAGGAGTAGGTGTTGGTAAAGTTTAAATATTTTTAAAAATTATTTCAAGGTAAGCTTTTGGCTTAAAACATATGTCATTTGCTAATCTATCTATCTATCTATCTATCTATCTATCTGTAGCAGGCATACACATGCCACAAAGTGTGAATAGAGATCAGAGAACTATTTTCTTCCACCATGTAGGCCTTAGGGATTGAACTCACGTCATTAGGCTTGGTGGTGAATGCCATTATCTGATGAGACATCTCACCAATCTACCCTTGGCTTTAATGCTCCCGATCTCCTGTGCGATTAATTTCATACTCCTGATTTATTCCATGTGCTTGTGAGCATTTCTGGCTGAGTCACTTGTGAACTTGGTTTCCTGTCTTCAATTGTATGTTCTAGGATCACACCCGGGTGGGTGCAGATACCTCTCAGGACATCCAGCTCTTCGGAATAGGGATTCAGCCCGAGCACTGTGAGATCGACATCGCAGCGGATGGAGACATCACTCTCACACCCAAAGAAAACGCAAGGTAGGAGGCGGCTGTGGGGTCTTCCGCTCCTCCCTTGTTTTCAGAACACAGGCCCTTTCCCTTTGCTTGCTGTAGTTACATCAAAGTTAAGGATATACTAGGTATCCTAGAAGATTTACTTTCTGGTTACGGAGAGTGTATTAATTACCATTTCTGTTTCCTTAACCAAAAACAAACAAATAAAATACAAAAAACAGAGGAGGGGCATATTTTGGCTCCTGATTTGAAAGAGTACGGTCCATATGGCTAGCAGGTCATGGTGGGAGGCATGGCCAGTGGGGTGTTGACGGATCCTTGAGAGGATGAAGCAGCTGGCACTGTCAGGTGTCATCTGGAAGTCGTCCTATCTAGACACTTGGTAGTTTTATCCTCCAAGGTCCGCCCCCAGTGACTCACTTCCTCCAGTGAGGCTCCGCCTCCCAAATCCCACGACCTTTGAATACAGCGCCACCCAGTGGAAAGTAAGTGTTCTAGCACGTGAGCCTGTGGAGACATTGCATATTGAAATCATAGCGGTAACTTTGAGGCCTGACAGAGCTCTTTTTAGTGCAATTACCGCAAAGCCTTAATTGCCAGGGTTAAACTACTACACTGAAGGGTATATGTTTTCATGAATGAATTTCAGAAGCTCAGGCGTCAGAGTCCTGTGTAGCCCAGGACTTTACTAATGAGAGATTGTATGATCACGATTTGTCATCAGGTTTCCCTGAGCATCTTAAAAGGAATTTCCTTTTAACTAACTACCTTCACACACCCGTATTTTGTTTCTAAACTGCCAGCAAACTTTTTTTGTTTGGTTGGGGTTTTTTGGTTTTTTGAGCCAGGGTTTCTCTATGTAGCCCTGGCTGTCCTGGAACTCACTCTGTAGACCAGGCTGGCCTCAAACTCAGAAATCCGCCTGCCTCTGCCTCCCAAGTGCTGGGATTAAAGGCAGGCGCAAACTTTTTTTTTTTTAATGAGCTGTTGAGTATATGTATTTTAGGTTTGGGGGTACTTAATTTTGTGTGTGTGTGTGAGTGTGTGTGTCAGTGTGTGTCTGTCTGTGTTTATGTGTCTGTGTCAGTATGTGTCTGTGTGTGTATGTCTGTGTCAGTGTGTGTCAGTGTGTGTCTGTGTTTATGTATCTGTGTCAGTATGTGTCTGTGTGTGTGTCTGTGTGTCAGTATGTGTCTGTGTGTCAGTGTGTGTCTGTGTGTCAATATGTGTCTGTGTGTGTTTATGTGTCTGTGTCTATGTCTGTGTGTGTGAGAGAGAGATACAGAGTGGAGATCAGAGGACAGTCACAGGTGTGGCACCTTTCCCTTGCACCTTGTTTGAGGTGAAGTCTCCTGTTCAGCACTGCATAGGCAGGACTGGCTGGCCTGGGAGCTTTCAATGTTTCTGTGTCTCCCGCCCTTGTCTCCTTGGGAAGGATGAGACTACAGCTGTGTGCTACTATTCCAGCTTAGCATGGGCTCTGGGGATCTGAATTCAGATCCTCACACTAGCTTTACCTGATGAGCCATCTCCCCAGCCCCAGTTTGTAAATGTTATGAAATGCTTTCTCTCTTCATTAGAAGCACACAGAGTTGGGGAATCCCTCTTTGAGGGCCTTAGCAGGCCCTGGCTCACTGCTGAGACTGTTTCTGTTACTCTTTCAAATGTCTCCCAGAATGCAACCATTAGGAGACTGTTCTCTGTCACTTCTTTGAGTCTTGAGGCTACTGTCTTCTCTCCACCTGACACCTCCCTTTGTATCCCTCCAGGTCCTGTGTAAATGGCACCCTTGTCTGCAGTACTACCCAGCTGTGGCATGGCGACAGGATCTTATGGGGAAACAACCACTTTTTTAGGTATCAACTTCATGCTCTCTAGTGCCTTTCATTTCCATTTTTCTTTCTGTTACGTATAAATCAAGCTGATATTATCTAATGATGAAAACCTCCACAGAATTAACTTGCCTAAGAGGAAGCGGCGGGACTGGCTGAAAGACTTTGAGAGAGAAACCAGTGCTGCGGAACATGACCTGGACGCTGCGAGCGAGGCTTCCTCAGAACCCGACTACAACTACGAGTTCGCACAGATGGAGGTTATCATGAAAACACTGAACAGCAATGGTAAGAAAGTCAGCGGATCCTGGGCTAGAGAGATGGCTCAGAAGTTAAGAGCACTGATTGCTCTTCCAGAGGTCCTGAGTTCAATTCCCAGCAATCACATGGTGGCTCACAACCATCTGTAATGGGATCTGATGCCCTCTTCTGGTGTGTCTGAAGACAGCTACAGTGTACTCACATACATAAAATAAATAAATCTTTAAAAAAAAAAAAAAGAAAAGACAGCGGATCCTACCTAGACCCATACCCTATACCTTATACCGATACCGTATACCTGAGGGACACCTTATAGAAGCAGAGCCATCCTGAAACTCAGATACAGCCGGTCCTTTTCTTACAGAGGCCATCATCAGTGAGGATTAGCATCAAGACTGCAGAGAGAACTCAGGTGGAACCAGGGAGTGTGCAGATGGCCTCCATCCCCAAACCAGTCATGATAGCATTTCCATGGTCACAGAGTATTTACTATTGAATGGATTTGACAAAGATATATATATATATCAGATTTTCTGCCATTGGTCTTGTCATTTGTCATTTCTGGAAGAGTAAAAAATGTCACAGAGAAAATACGGATCCAGGGATTTCGACTCTAAAAGGGGTAGCATTTGCTACGAGCTCAGTTGGAAATTAAACCTCCAGAGAGGCTTACTTAACTGACAGGCTCACGTACCTTTGGTAAAAACTAATACTTCAAGTGTCCTGTTCTCCAGGCTGTTTCCCTTCGGAGGACAATGCCTCCCTTCCCCCACCAGTCCCCCTGAGAGGTGCTTCCCTCCGTGGCTCACACACATGCTCTGATGCAGTCAGATGAGCTGCTGGCCTTGGTGTCCTCAGAATTCCATCTCCTGCTAGGTGGCTTCCCGATCGTAAGCCTGTCAGCCTGGTGGTCATCCCCATGGTGGTCCTACTTGAAGATCCTCTTCCCCCTCCTGTGGTTTCAGACGAAGCTGGTCCACCAACACTGGGAGAGAGGTTCTTAGCTGCTGCCTGAGCATGTGGGAACCTGGCTGGCTTTCAGCAGGGACGCTGAGGGACGCTGTGTGCTTCGAGCTTTGGCAAAGTCTGACAGTCAGTATTGGGGTGAAACAAAAGTTTTCTGCCTGACAGAAATGCTTCTTGATTCCAGCTCTGGTACCTTACAGCTGTCCCTTTCCACACACACCCAGCCACATAGGAGAGTGTCTTGGGTGTTATTGTCGTTGTTACTAACGGCTTCATTCCTACAGAGACCTTGGCAGACCAGGGGCGTGGCTCTTTTAAATGTAACCTCCATCTTCTCAGTAATCACTGAGACCTCTAGAGTAAGTACTGACCTAAAGCCCAGCTCATTTGCATGTAGATGAGCTGGGGAAATGGCTCCCCTAGTTAAGAGCTTGCCCTGTAAACCCAAGTACCAGCATTCTGGTCCATAGAACCCACGGAAAAGCTAGGTGCACATGGCGGCCCAGCTGTCGTCCAGCATGGGGGAGGTAGAAACAGGACCCCTGGAACAAGCTGATGCCGGGCAGGAGAGAGAAATATTATCAAAGATTTCCCAGGCTGGGGAGATAGCTTAGTCAGTACTTTCCTTCCAATTAGGAAGATCTGAGTTCAGTCTCTAACACTCACATTTAAAGGAGGAACAGCATGTACCTGTAACCCCAGCACGGGAGAGGCAAGGACAGACAGAGGGCTCCTGCAGCTTGATGGACAGCCAGTCTAGACTAACTGGTGAGCCCCAGGCTAGTAAGCCCCCGGGCATGGGTGGGTAGGAGTAGGGTGATATATCTAAGCAGGGTGCTTGGTACTGAGCCTGACAACTGAGTTTGATCCCAGAATTTGATCCTTCTACATGGTAGAAGGAGAAGACCAGCTCTGCAGGTGTCTCCTACCTCCGCAGATGTGCCACAGCGTGTGTGCACGTGCACACACGAAATCAATGTTTCTAAACGTGGACAGTGCCTGAGGAATGACGCTCACGACTGACGACTGACCTCTGGCCTTCACATGCACACACCTCCACGTGTGTCTCGCTCACCTCACAGACATGAGTACATACATGTGTGTACACTCACTGAAAAAAAAATCAAAATAAAATTTAAAGAGAAATACGAGAGAGGATCAGAGCTAAAACGGAGCCCAGCCTCTGAGCAGGGCTGTGTCTGATGAGCCCCAGGAGGGGACCTGGAAGTCCAGCATGGGAGGCTCAAGCACAGGACTAAACTGCTGTCCTCTCTGTGTCTGCGTCTTGGTCTGTGGCCTTAGTTTGTGCTGTGTCACTTTGGCTGCTGGTGCAGCTTTAAGTAGCCTATCATGCAGCCTCTTTGACAAAGAACCTGGGTTGAGGTCCTGTGCCTCAGCCTCTGGGGTCACGTGTTTCTGCAGCATAGGAAGCAGGAGTGTGAACTAAATACGTTCTTCAGGACCTGGGTGGTAAAAAGTCAACGGCAGGTTTTGCTTAGCATGAACAAGGCCCAAGGTTCAATCCCCAGTGTGTCATTAGGGATCTTGTCACCAAACCCTGTAAAGCCATTTCTCAGTTATGAAAACTGATGCTGTTTTGAAGAAAAAACAAATTTTCTAGTAATCTGGTTGTTCGTTTTGAAGACCCTGTTCTTTGATGAGTGCCCATAAGGAGCGGCTTTCGGGATAAGAGCACTGTATCAACCTGTTTATCAAGTTGGTATCTTACCTCCACTGACTAGCCAGCTTCCAATCTGAGCTCAAACTCTGGTGCCATCACTGGTTGCTATGTGACTTTGGTCATCTATGTGAGTTTTCTGAGCCCCAGTTTCCAGAACATTAAACATGCCATCCTCCATGGGGAAGGGGGTGAGGGCTGCAGGGTTCTTGGAAGATCGTGCATGTGGAGTCAGTCTGGTCCCTGCACTTGAGCTACAGCCAGTAGAGTCTGTGCTGGCATGGCAGCTGTTGTTTCTTTGTAAAACTACTCACGGTGTCTTGCAATTACATGAAACTGCTCGTTTTTGCTTTGTTTTATTAACTTTATTTCTAAGGCTAGTGTGTTCTCTTACATGCTAATATAGAAAGAGTATTGTTTATGCTTATTGTACAAACTGATGGGCTATTTTGGAAGAGTTTTGCTGCTAGCCATGATCAGATGAAATTGGACTGTAGCACAGGTTATCAGGGCTGCTGGGAGATGCTCACTGTGACGGACAGGTCTCCCTTCTTCACATGGTTGTCAAGTGGGCTGACTCCCTGCAGACTGCTCACTTATGTTGTGACTTGGTTCATGTGCCATTGTGTGGATCTGGCATCCATCTCATTGGTCATCACCATACTAGTACCCAGCCAATTGGCTCATTAGAGTCAGGTCCCACCTGTACCACAGCTATCCATAGAGGTGCTAAGAGTGCTATCTGTTGTGTGTACATGTTTGTCCCTGGACCACTAAATGGCCAAAGGGATGGTGTTTCTTCTCTCTCCCTCTCCCCCACTCTGTCTCTCTCTGTCTCTCTCTCTCTGTCTCTTTCTTTTTCTTCCTTTTTCTCCTTCTCCCTCCCTCCTTCCTTCCCTCCTTCCTTCCTTCCTTCCTTCTCTCTCTCTCTCCCTCCCTCCCTCCCTCCCTCCCTCCCTCCCTCCCTCCCTCCC